CAACCTCGTCCCCAGGGCCATCTCGGCCGACTCCTTTTCAAGATGGCGGTCGTCGGGGAGATGACCCTGGCGTTCGCTGAACTAAGCCGCTTTCTGATTGGCTATTCAAAATGCCTTTTCTTATATCACTCATTATTGGCTGTTTATGTTCGTCTATAGGTCGGGATGTGTTCGACACTGTCGGTATGTCCGGATAACCGTTAGGTCTTTGATCGGTTATTGATTTAACCGTTACGATGCGTTCATTGTTTTTATTCAAATATTCCCGAAATTTAATTAAGGTACGTTTTGTCGATTAAAAAGCAACGATATTCTTTGGAATTCTTGTCAGTTGTCCTCTTATGTCTCTCTTGTCCAATGCGTGGTTTTGAGATGCCAACTACTCGTGTAAGAAATTTAACTTGACGGATATATTTAGCGATAGCATTCGATGTTATAGAAGTCTTCTACTCGCCGATTTCTGCAGTGAGCGGATCCCTCAAGAATTCTAGAATGAACTGGATCTACTCCCGTAGGCGGTCTAGGGGTCAACACTGCCGATGACGGCATGACGGAAGGACATTTTTCAAATAAATCATCAAAACATGAAGCAAATACCGACCCACCACAGCTATCCCAGTTTGTGAAACCGTTGAGTTCACGTTTCGAGCGCCATTTTGAATAGATAAGCCACGTGATCAAAACCTCCAAAAATCTTGGAGGTTTTGATCATGTGATTCCAGCCAACGCCAGGGTCATCTCCCCGACGACCGCCATCTTGAAAAGGAGTCGGCCGAGATGGCCCTGGGGACGAGGTTGCTCCCGACGACCGCCATCTTGAAAAGGAGTCGGCCGAGATGGCCCTGGGGACGAGGTTGTTTCTGAATACAACCTGACAACATCTTTCAATCAGACTATTCTAATAAAGAGTTGTCGAAAAAAAACGGCGATTTGCACGACTGAAATGAGCCATGAGTTTTGCAAATTAATGGGAAATATCACCAGTCTTCATTTTGAACAAGCAAATGAATGGCGGATTTAGTACCATATGGTTGACAGCGCAACCATCACGCCATTTCTTTCGATTTATGCAATCGCAATTCGATCATTAAACCAATGAAACAACAATTATTTAACTATGATAGTAAATTAGGAAAAAAAACACAATAATATTAGAGCGTGCAAAAAAAAAAAAATACTTCTTTCACGGGAATTTTATTTTCTAATTTTTGATGGATATTGTATTGCTGAAAGACAATCATAACAGCAAAAACGTGAACAAGTACAAACCAAACAAGATTTCTTTAAACAGTTAAAGCCCATACTAAGATAGTCTAAGATGTCAAACAGGCCTTAAGGAAAGCAGAACAAGACTTTTTTAACAAAGAAATAGCTGAGAACAAAGGAAACAGTGGCGCAATTTGGAAAACCATCCGTCGAGCACTACCAGAGAAGTCGAATCAGCGCACGTCCTACTCAAGAGACACACAAACACTTGCAAATGATTTCAACAAATATTTCATCTCCGTTGGTGCGAATGCAGCGAGCGACGCTACGAAGTTGGCTAGATCTCACGGTCTTTCTGACAGCTACACACAACAACAAAATGTCACTACTCCTGTCAGTGATGATAATTTGTTTGAATTCCGGCGAGTGTCCAACTCAGATGTACGCGACGTAATAATGTCTATGGCTCCTAATAAGGCACCTGGCCACGATAGGGTTCCCCTGCGCGTGATCAAGGACTGTCTCTCATCCATCTTACCAAGCTTAACGAGCCTCATTAACACCTCATTTACTACATCTGTCTTTCCACGAGMCTGGAAGAAAGCGGAAGTTGTCCCACATCCTAAAGAAGGTGACCCAGAGGTTCCTGGCAATAACCGCCCTATTTCTCTTCTCCCAGCTCTCTCCAAAGTAGCAGAGAAGATTGCATTAAATGATTATAATAGCTATCTCACTAAAATGAACAAACTAACACATCATCAGAGCGGTAACCGGAAATACCATTCAACCGAAACCTTAGGATTACTAGTTACAGGGGATATTTACAGAGCAATGGACGAGAAGAAGCTAACTGCCATGATTCTTATAGACTTAAGCAAAGCATTTGACAGTATATGCCATAATACCCTTCTATTCAAGTTAAAAAATTTAGGGACATCACCAACGGCCATCAAGTGGTTTGCAAGTTATCTCACAGATCGRCAACAGTCTACTAGGGTTGGTACGTCTTTATCTGACCAATTGACAGTTACTCACGGGGTTCCTCAGGGGTCCATACTGGGACCTATGCTGTTTGGACTGTAMATGAATGATCTKCCCTCTGTGGTCAAGTACAGTCATGTTGAGTCATACGTTGATGATACGAAGATCTATCTGTCATTTGCCGCAAAAGACGTTGACTCATGTTTGTTTCAAGTAGAAGAGGATCTGCGACGCATAGCAGAGTGGTGCTGTGCTAATAGTCTCCTTATTAACCCTGACAAAACAAAATTCATTGTCTTTGGAACACCACAGATGCTTGCTAGGGTATCAGGTCTATGCGTTCCATTCTTGGGTCAAGACCTTTTTCCAGAACCTTTTGTGAAAGACCTTGGGATCATACTCGATTGTAACCTGTCATTCAATCAGCATATTAATACACTTATGTCATCTCTTCTTGGCAGCCTCTGCAGGATAAATAGAGTTCGCCATCTGTTCACTAAAGAYACHCTCCTMACGATTCTGAATTCCCTAGTTTTTAGTAAACTCTTTTACTGCTCTACTGTATGGTCTGGTACTTCAAACAAAACATCAATAAACTACAACTTTTACAGAATTTTGCAGCTAGAATCTTGACAAACACTAGAAAATATGATCATATTTCGCCAGTTCTAAAAGAGCTAGGTTGGATATCCATCAATAACCAGTTGAATTTAAGGGATGCTTGTCAAGTTTTCAAAATAGTGAATGGACTCGCCCCACAATATCTATGTGGAAAGATAAGCAAAAGATCTGAATCACATACCTATAACATGAGATATAAAGACAATCTTAATATTCCTATGTGCAGAACTTCTACCGCGCAGCGTTCCTTTTTCTTCAGGGCGCTTAAGTTGTGGAATGACTTAAAGATATCGAAAGAACATAGTTCACTTAAGTCCTTCAAGAGATCTTTAAGATACATGATGTCATGATCCTATCCATTAGTATTTATATCTTTAATAATAATTGTAATTTTTATAATTATTGTAAATTATTATAAATAGGAAATTTTACTCTTAATCATCATTGTAATTTTATCAGTTTGTACTTATGTAAATTTGGAAACTATTGTAAATTAGGCATGAAAAGCCATTTTTGGATTGCTTAATAAAATTATTGTATTGTATTGTATTGTAGTCTCCTCTCGCAGCCGTTAAGAGTGGCCTGGGAACGAACCTCGTATCGGCTGCGAGAGACTAATACTAAGAGTGACAATAAAATATTTTACTAAACTCGTTCCCAGTGCCCTCTCTGTAGCTCTTTTCAATTTGCGGACGCTACAGCGAAGACCCTGGCAAACACTAATTATCACGTGATCAAATACTCTAAAATTCATGGAGTATTTGATCACGTGTCAATCTATTCAAAAATGTATTCGCAACGTAAACCCAACGTTTTTAATCGGGCTAGCTGTGGTGGGTCGACATTTTGTTTATGACTGAACAAAAACATTTTATCTTAATTGTTCATTTCATAATTTCCATTCAATCGGCAATATAAGTAAAAGGAGTAGTTTCAGTTCACTCTAGAAGTCCTCAGGGGTTCTTCGAAAGAGAATGCGGCTGTAGATTAAAGCGCCGAGTAGAAGACTTTCAAAGCATCAACGCTTTCGCTAAAATACAGTAAATATATCGGCCGGGTTTAATTACTTACACCTTCGACTGGCTTCTCAAAAGCATGCATGAGATAAAGAACACACGAAAAGACAACTGACGTGAATTTGAAGCAGTATTATTGCCTTTTGATCTATAAAACGGACATCAAACTCTTCGGAAAATTGGACGCATTCAAAATAACGGTCGAATCTGGTCGAACAAACCCCGATTGATAGCCGAACATATCTTAAAAATAAACATCCAATGGCAAGGGGTATAAGAATGACGTCTTTATCAGCCAATCACAAAGCGCCTTAGTTCAGTGTTTGCCAAGGTCTTCTCTGTAGCGTCCGCCATTTTGAAAATAGCTACATAGAGGGCACTGGGAACGAGGTTGATATTTTACTTATTCCTCGGTTGCACGTTACGTCACCGCCGCCATGTTGGATACGATAACAAATCATTCCTTATTAGTTTTGTTTGTTCAGTCAAGCAAACATGGCGGCGATAGCTTTGTTCTTTAATTCTCGAGGGATTCTTGATCACGTGGTTGAGACCCAAGAATTGTTGTATCTAACTCGAGAAAAAGTATTTTAACACATAATCTATTCGCCATAATCTATTTCCTTTTGGAAAAACTTGGTCTCGCTTATCATTTTATTATTTCTAAATTTACCATCTATAAATATTGGCGTGATCTTCTGCTCTTACTACAAACATTGCATATGTGCGCGTTCTATGAATAAATAGTTTTACAAATGTACGATGCAGTCATATGATCTATGGGGGAGGGAGAGTTGGGGTCCACTCTGTCAACTGACAATTTTCCTAGTCCCCGTCGACACACACACGAGGCGGTGTGTTTAGTGGAGGTTCAAGTTTAGTGAGTATAATGTAATATAGTGTTGTGTGGTGTGGTGTGGTGTGGTGTGGTGTGACATTTGCTAATAATTCGATTTTCAGTCTGTTTGGCGGCAATATTCTAGTATTTAGTCTAGATTTCAGAGCTTTGATTCTTTCTTCTTTCCGCCTTGTTTGAATTTTGATAGTAAAATGGGTACAGCGGCAGCTGCCAATAGTGCCATGCCTAGTAAAGGTCTATGGGCAATCCATCCGATTGCTATGGTAACCAAGGATAATGATGTCGAGAGACAAAGACATGTGATGATGACGCCAAGCCCGACTAACTCTCGTACTATAGGAAGCCAAGACACTAGAAGAAACCAACAAAAGTCAAGAAATATAATTATAGTCATTTTTCATGAAAACATGTTACTAAATCCACCATGCTGGATGGCAAAATACCCACTGACATGCTCAAAACAAAGAAGAGTCAAGATGTTTTTAAAAATTATTTTGCCATCCAATATGGCGGACTTACTAACATGTGAATGCATGCAAAATGTCTTTTATCAAACATAATCAATAATAGTATGCCCAAGCGCCGCACAGGACGACTAGGGAGGCGACCTTTCTCTAACGTCGGCAATTCAAAGATAACTTCGTATTGGCGACATTGTCTTCGAAAAATCGCTTCCCGCCTCTGATTTCTTCTAGAAGAGTGTCTCTGCCGCCTAGTCGAGCTTTATAATGCAGTCCTAGGGGCTTCTGTGGCAGAAAATGACTCGAAAAATCACTTAAAGACGGTTTTTGAAATATCAGTCTCAAAAACAACCTAAAATCCAAAATAAATCGCGGACGTCAAAGGCTTAACCAACCACCGAACCAGCGTCGACCAACAAGCCAACTAAACAACAAATAAATCTGACAGGTTAAAAACTACTTACCTAATGTAGTCAGTATGCTTGTCATCATTACAAAGCCAAAAAACAACATAAACCAACCAACTCCACGAAGAGCCCACGTAACAACCGAGTTAACCGAGTGTTCAGCATCAAATATTTCCTAAAATAAGAACAGGATTTCTACTAGTTGTCTTTTATGAGATATAAAGAGGTCGTGCATACGACCTAATAGGCAATGTTCAGCAACACCACTGCGTGCATCTACATCTACACGTCTACTAGATGTACATAGATGCATACGACCTAAAAGGCAATGTTCAGCAACACCACTGCGCGCATTTACATCTACACGCCTACTAGATGTACATAGATGCATACGACTTAATAGGCAATTCGCCTGCAGCGACACCACTTTGTGCAATAAAGCATGATGGGAATTGTAGCCCTTATACATTTTCACTTCCGCTAAAAATCTCTGCTTAGCCATAAATCAATCAATCAGTTCCTTCTTCGTCATTCTGTGAATAACATTTATTAGTTTCCAATTCACTTGGTTTTCTTTGTTATTCATAGGGTTGTATATACCATAGAAACTTAAAGCCRGGGAKGGATTTGATAATCAGCAGGGAAATGTGGGGTTGATGAATTGAATTGAATAGCTAGTTATAAATTCAGCGGGCTATATATGAGTGACCGGAATCACTCATATCAGTAGCCCGCTGAATTTATAACCAGCTATTCGATTCAATTCATCAACCCCACATTCACCTGCTGAATATCAAATGAACTTAGTAAACTAAACTATTTTTTCCCTTAAAAAGACGAGTGTGACTAGCAAAACTTGACGGGAGATTGAGCGCGTAATAAGTTCGAGTCCCGCAGCTTTTCTTCGTGTTCATCAGAGAAAAGAAATAACAATTCTTGGTGTGCAACCACATGACCAAGAATCCCCTGAGAAATAAAGAACAAAGCTATCGCCGCCAT